TGTTTATAAGCCATGTAATAAGCCAGAATGTGTCACACTTTTTGTGAGAGCTCCATCTTGCTCTTACCTCTCCACAGAGGCAGCTTTAAACTGCTTAAGACCTACTCTTCCTCTCCTGCCAAAATGCCCATGGCAAAAGGTACAGGTGGCCCAGGAAAGTCTGCCAGGTTGACCTTGCAGAAGGCTTGGTCTTGCAAAGTGCTGAGTGCCCTCAATTCCCCGTGAAGTCAGTGGGAGGTAGGCTGCTCAGCACCTTGCAGGCTAAGAGTTTCCTGGCATTCTTCCCTTGAGGGAGGTGTTTGAGGACAGGGAGTGGAGCCTCTGACCCCACAGATCTCCATGGTCCCTGAGGAAGGAAATCCACAGTTCCTCAGAGGTCCTGGTCCTCCCTCTCCCCTGACAGCATAGCTTTCAGGTTCCCTGGCCTGCATAAAACCCCCTGGCAGAGACAGGTGCAGACCTGGGGCCACTACTAGCAGCATCAGCATAGGTTCAGATACCCACAGCCTGGGAAGGGGAGAACGTGATGAGGACAAGCTCTTGCCACGACCATCCCTCCAAATCCTGCAGAGTACTTGTAGAGGGAGTTCCATGGGGTTCCAGGGCTAGGAGGAGATGCTGCTGCAAAGGAAGCCCTCTACACCCACACACCTTCCAGTGAAATCTGAGGGGAAGAGGGCCTTGGCAAATAAGTAACTCAGAGATGAAAATGTACATCAGACTTCAAAACAACCAGTAAATATCTTCCTCCAAATAACAGGAACAAAAAGCATCTTGAATTCATTCAGACTGACAAAGATCAAACAGTACAAGTTAAAACAGGTAGGTGAGCAATTATTCAGTACACTTTAGCTTCAAAAACACAAACATATACACTCCATTCCCAATTGCTTAATGCTGCCGCCTAGCTCTCTGTAAACACACCAGGAGAAAAAAAAAAAGGTTCACATCACTCATAATTTATAGAACTTTAACAATGAAAGTAGGACAATCCTCCATTTCCCCAATGATGAGGGCTCTGGGATTGCTCGCATGAGAAACAAGACACCATGTGGAACCGGAGGCTGAATTTTCCGTCAGTTCAGAGAAATCTTCTCCAGTGTAACTCACAGCAGAATGACAGGCCAAGAGAGGCTTTCCACAGAGTAACTTTTCATTCTCTCATTTCCCTCCCCTCTTAGTGTTAGAGAGGAGAGTGTCAGTTTAAACCCAAGAAGAAGCCGCCAATATCTATTGATCAGTAAGTTGTCCTGTACTTGAGTGTCACTGACTAGTTTTCCATGGGTATATTTTTAAATTAACAACAAGCAGACTTCTTGTGAGATTGCTTTTCCTCTGGTCTGACTGCAGCCCAAAATAACCCAATCATCTCTATTCTGCATCACTCAGATGTTGCCCTAAATGACTGAGGAGTCTATTGTGTTTAAAAGAGAGTCCAGTTCTTGTTAGTGTTTTCACATCTTCCCCACATTATGACCAGAAATGCATGCATACCAGTGGCTTTCTGAAAGTCAGTATCACTAATAAAACTTAGCCATGGGATTACTGATCTCTTGAGGATAGAGCAGTCGTGACAGGCCTGGCATTTATGCCTCATCCCTATGAAGTTATTCATATATTCTCCGGTCAGAATGCTTTCGTTTACAAGGAATAGTCAGTGATGTTCATTAGTTGCCAATTTACTATAGTTGCTTTCCACCCAAGTACCTTGGCGCAATCTTAGATTGCAACTGCTTTTTTCAAACACCTACTGGGTGTGGCTGCAAGCACTACAGGCTTGGATCCTGTGCAGAGCGGAGCAGCCTCCACTTCCATTACGGTAAATGGAGTCGAGGGTGCTCAGCACCTGGCAGGATTTGGTCCTTACGTGTTACTACACCTGGCTCAACCTTCTTGTGTATAGCACTGCATCAGCATCCCTCCTGCCCTCCCCCCTCCCCCCATTGTTCAACAGCTGCATACTGAGCCCCCCAGTTCCATGTTCTGGTCCTTGTACATCTTGGAGCGGATTCTGCTCCTGCTGAAATCACCAGTAAACCCCCCCATCATGCCTCAGAGTCAAGGGCACTAGCATAGGAATATTTCTCTCAATACTAGTGCAGTGACTACCAGTCCTTAATAATATTCCTCACTCACTCATCTGGAGGCTGTAAGTCCTTGGGGATATTGGGGCTTCAGAGCTAAACTACCCCACTTGCTCAATAACTTGCTGAACAGCCCTAACCAACCATCCTTTCTGGCCTTCGTTAGAGGACTTGCTTGCCAACCTTATTCCAGTGGCATCGTCCCAAAGGGCAGCAGTCACAATGAAGTACATGCAGAGGCATTCACCTAATGGATGGGTCATAAATATCAGTTTGCTGTGCTCTGTAGGGGTGTTTGCTGATCTGACCAAGCCCTGGGCCAAAATCAGAGTCCAGAGCCTTGCCTGGTTTCTGGCTAGAGCAGGGCAGTCAGGGCAAACTGAGGCATCGGATTGGAAACCTGCCCATCACTACTAATCGTATCGTAGTTCTCCCCTGCAGATGTTAAACCAACACCCTCCCCACTGACTACGCTTGCTTGTGCAACTGATTAAACCTGTGCCTGGCTGAACAATCTCAGCATAAAAATCTGCTATTGCTGGGTTCTGTTTATTTCTACTCACATTGTGGCAAATGAGGATATGCAGTAAGTTGTTAATGCAGATTAATATTTTAAGGTGTTAAAAAACACTCAGCAAAAGTTTCCTCCACTAATCTAGACAACCTTAGAGAGTGTGTGCATAGGAGAGAGAGGAAGAAAGAAAGAGAGGTGGATGAAAGGAGAGTGGGGAGATGTGAAAGTTGCTGGTCTCATGGTCTCCAGGCAAATGGAGCAATCTGCCTGCTTTCTTGCATCCTCTACCGCAAGAAACAGGGAACAGCATGATCAATAGCTCTGAGAGAGCCCTATCTGTCCTCACGACAGAGTGACTGCTGCACCTGGACATTGCTGTTGTCATTGGAAATAGTGACAGAAGGTGATTGACTGGGATGCTGAGAGCTATTGCTTTGTGGGACAAAATGCCCCTCTCATGACATTGGGTGAAGGGGGGGGGGGGAAATCAGCTGGGCCCAATTCTGCAAAGTGAAGTTGAGTATGCTCAGCAATTTGTAGGAAGCACTTTCTCACCTTTCAGGATTGGGCTCTCTCAGTTCTAGGCTAAGGATGGGGGGGGGAGAAATGTATATATCAGAATATCATCAACTGTGAGTCAGATTCTGCCACCGTTAGCTGAGTAATACCTTATTTCTCCATTCGTTTCAGTGGGACTACTCCTGGAGTAAGATACTATTAAATGGGAGTAAGAGTGGCAGAATCTGGGCCTATTTTTTTTTTAAATGTCAAGCAGTTAGCTAGCACCAGAAAGTTGTTATTGGGAGAGATGTTTGGTTGAAGAGTATTGCTACTTTGCTCTGGCTCGTTCCTGGAATGTAGTTACCACTGTTTCGCTAATTTAGTCAGCACTGTTTCATGGTGGATCTTGGAGGAAACTGTACACCATACTGTCAAACAGGGTTGAATAAATAGCTTAGCTCTGATGCAAAAGGATTTAGTTAGGATACGTTGGGGAGGTCAGTTCACAGACACTAAACAGCAGTGGAAACAGCTGTTTTTTTAAATTAAAAAAATTTTACCTGTATATCAGTTTCTGCAAAGCTTTGGTACGCACAGTATGTGTACTGTAAATAATACCCATCGCATATTTACCACACATATAGCTGTGCACCCATTGGGAGGCATTTTCTTTGATTAAAAGGCATGGGTGTTTAAAAAGGAAAAACATCTGCCATTTTTGCTTTCTAAATGGAACAAAAAAATAAGGATCTAATCCTGGAAACCCTGCTCACGTAAGTAATCCTTATTCATGTGAGCAAATCCATGTGTGTCAATGGGCTTACTCACAAGTGAGGGTTGCAGAGTTAGGCTCTAAATCTGTGCAAACATAAAGCCTTCATCATGCTGTTGAATCTGTTCCCAGAACTCTAAATAGGCACCATTATGAAATAGGTCTGAGCTGGATAAACACTGTAGAAGTGAGTATTGAGCCCTCCTGACTCGCACCTTTTTCACAGCAGTGCTGATGTCTGAGCTCCATGGATAAAATGAAAGGCTTAGGAAGTGTCTGTGTGCATAGAGCTCTTTTCTAAAGTGACCTTTGCAAGAGATAATGGGAGATAGATTGCCCTCCCGTACATATTTTCAGCATCCAGATCTTTTCAAATGTAATTTGCTGCTCAGACTTTATACAACAAAGTGATCCTAGTATACCATGCTCATGCACAAGCAGCAGCACAGGTGACCACATTTGCCAAGATGGCTTTGTATATCTTGCTCCAGTTTTTAAAAAAATAATTGTTGGGATGTGGACATTCAGCAGCCAAGTGAGATGCCTGGTTTGTTTGTGCTCAGATTGCTATTCTGCATCACAACCATTTCACAGCCGGGCTGGCATTGGAGTTCTGGGAACAAACTGAAAGGTCTGAATGTGCTTTTGTGCACAGAGCCCTTTTTCTAAAGAATTATAAAGATTCTAAGAATCACTATTAATAAGCTGATATCCTTGGGGGATTTGATGAAACATGCTTGTCAGAAACCACTTCACAGACTGAAGAAATGTTCTCAGCAGGCAGGTAGGGAGGTCTGTGGCTTATTAATTATGCACGGCATCATATGAACTCACTGATGTGATAGATGGTTATACTTCTACTAAAAATCTTCCCAAGTGAAAGCACAGAGCTCTTGAGATTGTAAAAAGGCACGGGAAAATAAATCGACCAGCCTGGAAAACATTACATGTTCAAATAAACGTATTTGTGATATGAGTGGAGCTCACATACATACAAACCTTGAAAAAAATCTAGCTAATGTCTCTGTATCCTCTTACTGTAAATTACTGATTGGGGAAAATGCATACTGGAAATCAACTGGGGAAAAATGTGTACTATAACAAGTCCTCTGATAGGCTAATTCTGGGAATTAGCAGTACTGACTAGTAGTGATGCTGGTACATAGCTGCTGGAGTTGTGCCTTTCTCTATATGCTTCAGGTGACAGGAGTGACAAAGCAAATGTTCATCTAGCGGATAACAGCGATGTCCATCTTCATCATTGAGTTCCATCCCACAATCCTACAAAAAGACCGGAGTGGCTATTAAAATGTATATTTGCTTTCTGCTGCAAGAACCAACTAGTACCTGACACCAGTATTTAAAGGAGATCAATTCCCTAATAAGGACACGAGCACTTAAACTGTTGACAGCTCTTTCAAAATAAGCCCCTAGTATCTAGATTTGTCATGGGCAGGAAAGTATCCATCATAAGCATCTGTAAGATTCAACCTCCAGCCCAGTAAGGTTAGTCTGGTTTAGTAGTTTTTCTTTATTACTTAGATCTTATGGTGAGTTATGTCCCTATACATCTTAAATACACTAGCATTTTTCTTAAAATCTCCAGGCTGGATTCACCACTGTTTTACTCCATTGAAGTCCCTAGACATATTATGTTGGACATTTTTCAGCAGTTAATAACTGCTGTAGGAACTTAACAACATGAGGTTGCCGTTGCTGATCTGCTGAGTTCCCAAGATATCTGCGTATTTTATTTCTTGTTAAAATAGTATTTTTTCACTTTGCCCTTAGAAAGCTGTTGACCCACCTCACAGTGATAACATTCCACGTGGTAATCCTTGTCCATGGACACAACCCGAATGGTCTCATCGGACCCCTGTAAATATTAAAGCAAAAAATATATTATATAGATGGCGGGTAAAGGAGGATGTGACACATGGGTTTTGTGAATTTCTTCCTGCAGCAATGTGGATATTAAACAAATGCATGTGGGCCACTGGTAGAAAATCTCAAATAAAGCCTGCCATCTGCAGATCTGCTTTCAGCAAAGCTTCATCATCAATCTACTGTAGGCATCCCTGGAAAACTGAATATCAGAGACTAAAAGAAAGATTTCTGCTGGCCAAGTCAATCCCAAATGGATATAGCAAGGAGTATGTGAAATCCTTCAATATTTCACATTTCTGAGAAAGTGTCAGCATTGTTAACTGGTTCTACCAAAAGACACCAAATTAACAAGATTATGATGAATAAGAACTCAATTCTAGTTGAGGGCACTCCCTCATACGTGGAACACTCTTCAAAATCAACAACTTGGTATTGACTAAGGGACAAGTTAGTCTGACCTACCAGTAACAGCAATGAAATCTCACAGAAGGTGAAAAGAGCAGATTAACCCAGTGGTAGCAAACTGAACTATCAAGCAAAGGAACTACTGAGTCTCAGACACTGCACTTTAACCTTGGGCCAACAGAGGCTGAGATTGCTGTGAAGGCAACACTCGAGGAAACAACGTACAGCTCTTATGAGCCAGGAAAACATTCAGTCTGACAGAGAGTCAAGGAAAAAATGGCATGATCCTAGGGGTCCCCAGGAAAGCAGTGGAGTAAGAATTGTAAGCAATAGCAAAAAAGGTTCTTACCTCAGTCGGCAGAATGGGATGTCCACATGCTGCACATTTTGGAGCTAAAACTCTACAAGAGCAATGAGAAATTACAGTTACACATATACCATCTGTATGAAAGAGGCTTGTATGTTCTGACTAAGAGGTAATTTGCAGTATGTGGTTTTTCACTTTATCTGCAAGGATAGTGGTGTGAAGAGCTTTTCATTCCAAGTGTTTGTTTACCAAATGAACTAACAAACTGGATACCACCATATAGCCCTCATATTGGCTCGAATGGCTGCGCAATCTGCAGTAAACATTACTTATGGAGGAAGTAGTAAATCCCAGGGTCAATCAACAAATTTTTTATACATCCAGGCCATGGAGCATCCGGACCATGGAATTTATCAACGAATATTGTACATGATCCATTAAAAAATGTCATTTCTGCCAGTTATATCCTGGTGTGACTGATAGAATCTGCTCTGATCTGAGGAGCTGCCATTTTGGAATAAACACTTTTGAGAACCTATTTCTGAGGCCAACTCTCAGTACTCTGTTTTCTCTAGAAGGGAAGGGCATCTGTGTTTAGACATGTTTTTCAAAATTGAAAACTTTTAGGAGTGGTTAGCATGGCTAGTTATTCTCAGAAGGAGCCATACCAAGCTGGTAGCTGCAGACCCTCAGATAAAACGGTTACTCACCTTCTCGTAACTGTTGTTCTTTGAGAGATGTTGTTTACGTCCATTCCAATCAGGTGTGCGTGTGCTGCGTGCATGGACGTCGGAAAGTTTTTCCCTTAGCAGCTCCCGTCGGGTTGGCTGTGGAGCCCCCTGGAGTGGTGCCTTCATGGCGCTGGATATATGACCTTACCGACACGACCCCCCCTTCAGTTTCTTCTTGCCGGCTACTCCGACAGAGCGGAAGGAGGGTGGGTATTGGAATGGATGTGAACACATCTCGAAGAACAACAGTTACGAGAAGGTGAGTAACCGTTTTTTCTTCTTCGAGTGCTTGTTCACGTCAATTCCAATCAGGTGACTCCCAAGCTCTATCCCGGAGGTGGGATCGGAGTCAGGGAATTGCTGATTGGAGCGCCGCTCTGCTGAATGCCGCATCATCTTTGGCATGCTGGGTGATAGCATAGCGAGTGGTAAGCGTATGCACCGATGACCAACTTGCTGCTCTGCAGATCTCCTGTATCAGAACCTGGGCCAGGAAAGCAGCTTACGAGACTTGTTCCCTTGTGGAACGTGCCATAATAGCAGGGGGTGGGACCTTGGCCAGCTCATAACATGTGCGGATATAACCTGTCCAGGCCCTTGAGGAAACGCCCTACCATGGGGTTGGCGAATACGGAACGTCCAGACGCTCCCAGATGGAAGGCTGAGATAGCAGCGAGGTGTACCTTAATGCTGCCAGGCTTTGTTGTTTCAGGTGTAGGAGAAACTCCAGGATGAGTGGTACAGGCACCTGGAGTGGAGGTGTGTGATGCTGGGCACACCAGCAAGTGAACCTCTTCCACTTAGCTAGATAAGTGGCCCTGGTGGATGGTTTCCTTATGCCTAGTAGAACCTCCCTCACTGGTCCCGAGCACATGAGCTCCATCGGGTTTAACCATGAAGCTTCCAGGCTGTAAGATGGAAGGACTGGAGGTCCGGGTGGCAAAGGCGACCATGGTCCTGTGTGATCAGATCGGGGTAGAGTGGTAGTACGATCGCGGTGTCCACTGACAGCTCCAGAAGCATGGTGTACCAATGTTGACAGGGCCACGCTGGGGCCAGCAGGACTACCTTTGCCTTGTCTGTGCAGATCTTCAGCAGCACCTTGTGCATGAGTGGGACCGGTGGGAAGGCATACATGAGGCGGTCTCCCCAGGGTAGGAGGAATGTGTCCGAGATCGAACCCGGGCTGTGTTTCTAGAAGGAGAAGAACGTTGGGCACTTTCTGTTGCTCCGGGTGGCAAAGAGATCGATTTGGGGAAATCCCCACCTTTGGAAGATGGAATGTATGACATCTGGACAGATGGACCACTCGTGATTGCAGAAGGACCTGCTAAGGTGGTCCGCTAGTTCGTTCTGCATGCCTGGGAGACAGGACGCATCCAGGTGAATGGACTGGGCTATGCAGAACTCCCATAGCTGGAGGACTTCCCAACATAGGGGAGAGGACCAGGCTCCACCCTGCTTGTTGATGTAAAACATGGCTGTGGTGTTGTCCGTCATCACTGCCACGCATTGGCCTTGCAGTAGGGACCGGAAAGTTTGGCATGCAAGTCGCACCGCTCTGAGCTCCCTGATACCGATATGGAGTAAGGGCTCGTTCTCTGACCATAGGCCTGTGTTCGGAGATCTCCCAGATGTGCCCCCCAACCCAGCACTGACATGTCTGTTACCAAGGACAAGGAGGGCTGTGGATTGTTGAGGGGGTCTCCTGCGCACACCATCCGAGGGTCGAGCCACCAATGGAGGGACTCGATTACTTGCTGTAGCACCATCACCACTGAGTCCAGGCTGACTCGTCCCAGGCAATAGGCCAAAGCGAGCCAAGCTTGGAGTGGCCTGAGCCTCAGCCTGGCATGCCGGACTTGCTGTAGTGGTCGGGTACCGCCTGAGGTTTTGAATAACGTCTGTTATTACTTGGAATCGGGTCTCTGGCAGGAACGCCTTTGCCTGTACCGAGTCCAGCACCACCCTGATGAATTCTATTCTTTGGATCGGTGACAAGGTTGACTTGTTCACATTGAGGAGGAGTCCCAGTCCCTGGCGGTCGGCGGAATCGAGGCCGGGGTCTGCCACAGGGTCTTTATGTTGTTTTGAACAGTCTTGATCAAAGGCAGAGCTACCCGTGATGGACCTTCAGGAGTGAGAATATCCACCAGGGGGTCCTCGGCCTCGACCACCTCCTCTGCTTGCAACCCCACGTTGCGGGCAATTCGCCTAAGGAGGTCCTGATGTGCCCTATGGTCAATTGGAGGAGGGCCCAAAGCTCATGCCCCTGACACAGCTTCATCACCTCCACCTCACACTGCCCTGCCAGAGTTGCTACGTGCCGGACTCAACGGTCCCTCTGGGGTACCGAAGTTAATGGCACCGACTCATGCCCACTTTGCACCGGGTCGTTTCTGGGGTGCGCCGTGCATCCTCTGACAGTCCCACGGTTTTCGGGGCCAGTGAGAGCCCCCTTTCATCCTTCTTGAGTCGCTTGTGCGGCACCGCGGAAGTTGAGCAGTGATGGGCTGCTATTCCTGGCTGCAGTGCCGGGGTGCGCTGGTGCCGAGGGTCTCTTGCGCTAGAGTCCTTCCTCGGTGCTGTGTCACGTACGGATGCTGGAGCACTCTGTACGGACAAGCTCGGTGCCAATCTTGGGGGTCTGCAGCTGGCTGTGGGTGGAGAGTGGATTCCATTAAAAGTTGTTTTAGGGGGAAATCATGCTCCTTCTTGGCTGAAAAGCCCTGAGATTTTGCCTCTCCGTTTGGTGCACTTTAAGCAAGAGTCGTGGGGGTCACTGATGAGCATAAGCTTATTGCAAGCACTGCAGGGCTTAAAGCCTTGGGCATGCCCCAGAGCCCAAGGGGTGGGTGGGTTAGGCACTGGGGAGAGACCCCGCTCCCAACCTACTATCTAAACTATCTATACAACTATGTACTAAATTAACTATAACATTAACTTGAAACTCGAATGACTAACAGGAGAACATTAAGGGAGCACCTGCTGAGCAAGTGAGCATTGTTCCAACGGCCGTCACGGATGGTAAGAAGGAACTGAAGGGAGGTCGGGTCGGCAGGATCATATATCCAGCGCCAGGAAGGCGCCACTCCAGGGGGCTCCACAGCCAACCTGATGGGAACTGCTAAGGGAAAAACTTTCCGACGTCTGTGCACGCGGCGCACGCTCACCTGATTGGAATTGACGTGAACAAGCACTCGAAGAAGAACAGAGCAGTTTCTATCACTAGGTCATACAAGCCATTTTTAACCGCTCATGTACACTGTAATAGTAGAGTGCCAGCTCTTCTATTGTTAAGGTAGGCAATTGCTTTCTGTTTAAAGGCGATCCGGATGTTTAAAAAAATCATGGTCTGGCTCTACGATTTACTTTTTCATCTACAACTACTATTTACTGCAGATTATTCAGCCATTCAGGGGTAGATTTCAGGTTGAAGAAGTCCTTGAAAGAACAGTGAACCCCACTTAAATAAGGACTAGGAAGTAGGAATAGGATAGCATTGTATTATCTGTCTGAAAACAAAAAAGTAGCAATCCTTTAAAATGGCTACTCAGAGAGGTGGAAGTGGGGACAGGGAAAATTAGACACAGGAATAATCCAGGCACAGACATATTAAAAGACCTGGGGCCCGATTTCAAGGCAGTGGGGCATGTTCAAGCTTGAATAGTGTTTCAAGTGCAAGGGAGTATGCATTACTTTATAGTAATAGTTATATCTACAAGAAATTAAAACTTTAGCACAAGTGCAACATAAGGCAATTCTATGGAGCACCTTAGAGCAGGATTATTGTATATTTCAATATCCTCCTTGATCATAAGAGGAATCAGGCAGCAGAATGGAGTAAGCGAATGGCTCAAAGTGTATGTCAACTGGTAGGTCTAATATTACCTATGACAGTGGCTCTTTAATCTCCCTAGATAGTACATTACTAGTGATTTGCAAATAGATTTTTTTTATGATATATTATTTAATTAACTAACCATATAAAAAGGTGAATACTAACCCTCACCCTCCAAAAAAAACCCACCACCACCACACACACATACGTTCAGCACTAACATCCTAATCATATTTGGTTCTTACAAGCCAGAGTCAGCCCCTGGTGTAACAAAGTGCAGCTCCCATTGGCTTCAAAGGAATTTACCGGTACTTCAGGGCTGATTTAGTTCTTATTCCTTTAAAGCACTTTACAAATATTAACTAACTGAACCATACATTTCCCCTGACAGATAGGTGAATATTACATCAATTTTGCAGATGGTGTTAAGTGACTTACCCAAGGCCACAGAGGAAGTCAGTGGCAGAAGGCAGGGAAGAGGTCAGGAGTTCCTAGCACCCAGTCCCATGCTCATTACACTAGTCCATACACCCACACCATTTTGAAGGTTGAATTAGTGGGTTTTCGACTAGGTTTACTTAGCTGTTTACTTTGTTCTTACTTGTGGTAATCTCTGACACAGTAGATTTTGTTCTCAGTGTCTACAGTGAATGGCACTCCATCCAGACATTCATTACAGATCACACAACGGAAGCAGCCTGGATGGTATGATTTCCCTAGAGCCTGCAGGATCTGCAATAAACCAGAGACAGAAGAGAGCTCATGGACAGGCATTAAAAGATGAGAGTACAGCAGTAGAAGCATACTACCGACCACCTGGCCAGAATGGTGACGGTGACTGTGAAATGCTAAGGGACATTAGACAGGCTACAAAAACAGAAAACCCAATAATAATGGGGGACTTCAACTATCCTCATATTCACAGGGTACACATCACCTCAGGATGGGCTGCAGAAATAAAATTTCTAATCACCATTAATGACTGTTTCTTGGAGCAGCTAGTCCTGGAACCCACAAGGGGAAAGGCAATTCCTGATTTCGTCTTAAGTGGTACACAGGATCTGATCCAAGAGGTGAATATAGCTGAACAGTTGAGTAATAGCGACCATAATATAATTAAATTTAATATCTTTGTAGGGGGGGGAAATACCAAAGAAACCCACCACAGTAGCATTTCACTTCACAAAGAGGAACTACAGAAACATGAAGAAGGTAGTTAAACAGAAATTAAAAGAAATAGTCACAAGAGCGAAATGCCTGCATGCAGCATGGAAACTTTTTAAAAACACCATAAGAAAAAGACTCAAATTAAACGTATAACCTAAATTTAAAAAAAAATAAAACCAGTAAGAGGATAAAAAAATGCCACCAGGGCTAAACAGAGTAAAAGAGCTGTTTACAGGGGGAAAAAATACTTTTAAAAATTGGAAATCATATCCTGCTGAGGAAAATAGAAAGGAACATAAACTTTGGCAAATCAAGTGTAAAAGTATAATTAGGCAGGCCAAAAAATAATTTGAAGAGCAACTAGAAACAAAAAACCACAAAAACTAACAGCAAATTTTTTTTTTAAGTACAACAGAAGCAGGAAGCCTGCCAAACAATCAGTGGGGGCCATTGGATGATCGAGGTACTAAAGGAGAACTCAAGGAAGACAAGGCCATTGTGGAGAAGCTAAATGAATTCTTCACATCGGTCTTCACTGCAGGGATGTGGGGAAGATACCCACATCAGAGCTATCCTATTGAGGGGGACAAAATCTGAAGTACTGCCCTACACTGATGCATAAATAGAAGAGATTTTGAACAAATTAATAAATTAAACATTAATAAGTCACCAGGTGATATTCACCAAAGAGTTCTGAAGGAACTCAAATGTGAAACCGCAGAACTATGTAACCTATTGCTTAAATCAGCCTTTATACCAGATGATGGGAGAATAGCTAATGTAATGCCAATTTTTTTAAAAAGGCTCCAGAGGCAATCCTGGCAATTATAGGCTTGTAAGCGTAACTTCAGTACCAGGCAAATTGGTTGAAACGACAATAAAGAACAGAATTGTCAAACACAGAGATGAACTCTATGTTGGGGAAGGGTCAACATGGCTTTTGAAAAGGGAAATCCTCACCAATCTATTAGAATTCTTTGAGGGTGTCAAACATGTGGACAAGGGAAATAGTGTACTTGGAATTTTAGAAAGCTTTTGACAAGGTCCCTCACCAAAGGCTCTTAAGCCAACTAAGCAGTCATGTGATAAGAGGGAAGGTCCTCTCATAGATCAGTAACTGGTTAAAAGATAGGAAACAAAGGGTAGGAATAAATGGCTATGTTTTTTAGTGGAGAGAGGTAAATAGCAGAGTCTCCCCAAGAATCTGTCCTGGGACCAGTGCTGTTCAACATATTCATAGAAATAGGGGTAAACCCCAAAGGTGGCAAAGATTGCAGATGATACAAAATTACTCAAGATAGTTAAGTCTAAAGCAGAATATGAGGAGTTACAAAGGGACTTCACAAAACTGGGTAACTGGGCAACAAAATGGCAGATGAAATTCAGTGTTGATAAATGCAAAGTAATGCACATTGGAAAACATAATCCCAATTATACATACAAAATGATGGGGTCTAAATTATCTGTTACTACTCAAGAGACATCTTGGAGTCATTGTGGATAATTCTCTGGAAACATGTGCTCAATGTGCAGCGGCAGTCAAAAGAGCTAATAAAATGTTAGGCACTATTAGGAAAGGGATAGAAAATATAATGCCACTATATAAATCCATGGTGTGTCCACACCTGGAATACTGAGTGCAGTTCTGGTCGCTCCATCTCAAAAAGGCTATTTTGGAATTGGAAAAAGTACAGAGAAGGGCAACAAAAATGATTAGGGGTATGGAACCACTTCCATATGAAGAGAGATTAAAGAGACTGAGGCAGTTCATCTTAGAAAAAAAGACGACTGAGAGGAGATAAAATAGAGGTCTATAAAATTACAACTGGTGTGGAGAAAGTGAATTAAGAAGTGTTATTTACCCCTTCACATAACCCAAGAACCAGATGTCACCCAATGAAATTAAAAGGCAGCAGGTTTAAAACAAACAAAAGGAAGTACTTCTTCACACAACACACAGTCACCCTGTGGAACTCATTGCCAGGGGATGTTGTGAAGACCAAAAGTATAACTGAGTTAAAAAAAGAATTAGATAAGTTCATGGAGGATAGGTCCATCAACAGCGATTAGCCAAATGGTCAGGGACGCAACCCTATGCTCTGTTAGTCTTAAAGGTGCCACAGGACTCTCTGTTGCTTTTAACCCTATGCTCTGTGTGTCCCTAAATATCTGACTGCCAGACACTGGGACTGGATGACATAGGATGGATCACTGGATAAATTGCCCTGTTCTGTTCACTCCCTCTGAAGCATCTGGCACTGGCCACTGTCAGAAGACAGGATACTGAGCTAGATGGACCATTGGTTTGACCCAGTATAGACATTCTTATGTGTTTATGAAAATAATATACTTATGACATTACATCAGACAATGGTGCAGTGTCATCGGAAATACTATGTCCTGTTTTAGTAATTTAATTATAAGAATGATTTAGTAGAGATAGAAATGGTCCGTAGAAGAGAGCTGGGATCTACATATAGCAAGAAATTTAAAAGACTAGAATTATTTAGCTGGAAAGAAGAGCTGGCAGGGGCTAGATTTAGAGTTTCAAAATTACAGAAGTCAAAGGGAAAAAGTGACTGATTTTTCCTTTAAACTCTGTCTGAAACCTTAAGGATATGGGGACACTGCCTAATTAAAGGACAGGAAATACAGAGCCAACAAAAGAAAATACCTCTTTCCACTCTTCTGCAACAGGCTGAGACACATGTAGCAAAGAGAGGACCAGCATAGTAACAGATACTATAGTCCGGCCCCCAGCCCACCAATGCCCTATCTGCCCCCAGCTCAATGGGCTGCAGGAAGCCATGCTCTCATGCAATGGGTGTGGACAGGAACATCAATAAACGGCCACAGGAGTTCATAAAAAGGCAAAATCAGTGTGTTTTTAAATGTCCTGCTCTTCAAAGCAAAGTTCATTTTGATCCGACACTGAAAACATGTCTGTGCAACAAACATGAACGGATGCTAGTTTTGCTTCCTGGCAATGACAAGCCAGAGGATTAGGGTTCTTTCACTGTCATAAGTCATCACACCAGCTAGACTAACAGATCAAATGAGGTGATCCTATATATGAATTTCTTTTGCCCTGGAGACATCATTCAAAATGCTGTTTTCTTTCTGAGGCAAGCATCACTTACCATGTCCATTATCAAATGACCACAAATGAAACACCTGTCAGCTGACTGCTGGAAACCTGAATACTGCAAGGAGAAAAAAAACTGGCTTAACATTTTACAAGGCTAGGTAACACACACACTTTGAGTGATCTGCCTTACTCTGCTCAACATTTCTTATGAAGCAAAACTTCCTTTTCTTTAGTCTGAACAAATATTGGGCAGGCCCTCATTAGAATATCTCAAAGTTACAGGGTCATATTTTCAAAGTTAAAAGGGTCTGTAAGTTCCCATAACTCTAGGGTGCTAATTTAAGTTTAAATTGAATTTAACATACATGGGCAAATACCAGATGTGCACATGTAAATCAGGGATCTACTGGCAATCCATATGTGCTTATTTGACCATCATGTGTGCGCAAATATCGGGTGTTTATTATGCATATACATCTCGTATTTGTATGTGTAAATTAGGTGTACACAGATAGAACCTGGCCTAACTTGAAATCTGGCCCACAATCTCACTAGGTTAATAAATGTAAACTTGGAGGGCCAAATTCTACCTTCAGTTATGCTGGTATAAATGTGGCGTGAATACCACTGAAGTCAGTGGCACTGTCCCAGCTTAATGCTGGTATAATTCAGAATAGAATTTGGCCCAGAGGATTATTTTTGCCAAGAACTAAACATATGGACCTGATTCTCAATTACACTAATGCCACTTTTACACCACTGCCACCAAATGTAATGCACATCCACTTTAAGGCTGCCTTACATACCATGACTAGCAGAAAGGGTTTTAGTGTAAATGAGCATCAAGCCCACCAAGTATTTTTAATATATTTAATTAGACTGTACATTTTGCAATGCCTGGATTATTAACATCTATTGTTTTTAAATTACATGAGAGAGAAAAGGAAAGCTGACTCCTCTTCTCCCCAATAGCAATCGCTGGGGTTGATCAATAAGAGGGCACTTTGGGGGAGAGGGGGGAAGCAGAATGAACACACTCACTCGCTAACAACCAATAACAAACAAACTAATTCTTAAAACAACACAAACAAAAATACAAAACAAAACAAATCACCCTCCCAAAAGTCTTAGTTAAACACCCATAAACTAATGTTTCATTAACTTATTTTTCATACTCTTTTTTTTCCTTTACATGCTGACTTTTCTTGTGTTTCCAAGAACTGGCTGTTTCTCTGCCTGGAGTTCAAGGTCATTTCTGTATTCTAAGGCTACTGCTTCATTTTTGTGCCACCCAGATGCACCTACATAGGGACCACCAACCACTCCATACATGACCAGAGGGGCTGCTTCTAGAGCAATGTTGTTCACATAGTTCAGCCCAGGACCCAAAGTAAGGGTCTGGTCCAAAGCCCATTGACGTCAATGGACTTTGTAACAGGCCCTAAGTGTGCCACTTCCACAGCCGTGTGAAAGAGCTGCAGAAGTCTTAACGTTGTTTCAGGGTGTTGTTATGCAGTGCACCTAAATCAGATAGGTATTTAATAAATATTTTTAAGCACTGCTCCCCCTACTCTGTCCACAGTACATCAGGGTGTCTCATCTCTCTCAGAAATGCCCAGTCAGAGAAAGTTGATAGGAAGGGGAAAATCTGTTCCCTTGCTTGTTTTTCTCTCTCTCCATTTATCATGCCCTCATCCCCACCATATTTGAACACACAACCCAATCCCTTCCCGGTGAATGCTGCTTGTTGCCATTCTTTTGCTGAAATGTCAGTTGTTGGATTGTGTGAGTTGCTTGCATTACAGTTTCTCTGAGTCACAGCAGGCAAGTTGCAACGGGAGAGGCACAGGGCAGCAATGCACTCACCAGAAAGTCTTCTTCACAGAACACCTTTCCATTAACAAAATAAAAGGCTTTTCCTCTCAGTTTTCGACCTAGGGAGAAACAAGAGGAGAGAGAAAAAAAAGTTAGTAAATGGATGAAAAAAATACTACCAAAAGCTGGTAAAAGAGATGCATTTGGGGCAGTGTCTGTCTTTTTGTTCTCTGTTTGTGCAGCACCTAGCACAAATTGGGCACTAGTTATTGACTAGAGCTCCTAGGTCCTATGGTCATGATGATAATAATAATGATGATGATTACTATTATTATCCAACTGAGCTGAATGCTAGAAACCATTCCAGGCCCAGAATATCAACCAACCATGTTTTCTTTTTAATGACAGTCCTGTGATCTTTGGACTCTAATCCCTGTGTTGCAACAAGGGTGGTTTCAACAATGAGAGTTTCACATTCCACGTGGAATCTCAACATCCTTTTATTGAATAAAACGTACCTAAGAAACGACCTCAGCACAACATACTGTTTAATGCCACAAAATACCATCTCCCACACTCATCTCTGAAACTAAGTGAGAGAGGGAGTTCTAGGATCCTGCATGGAGCAGCAGGGATAGTTTGCTGATTCACTCGGGAAGCCACTGCTGGTGAGTGGTTAGGTAAATAAGGGTGTGTGCACAGGGGTTTACCTATACTAGATTTTATTTCTTTAAAATTTCCCATCAGTGCTGTTCCACCAGTGGGAGCTCTTCTTTAGGTGGACTAAGCACTGGCAGTTGCCGGCATTTTAAACACCACATTGTTTGGACCTCCTCTGAGCAGAGTTAAGCACCACAACGGCTAAACGCCTGTGATTGGACTATACTAGCACTCCCATTATTGTTACTGCCATGGGAGTTGCGCTGGTGTTAGCAATGATATGATTTTTTTTTCCCCCAGGGAAAAAAAGAGCTTTTTTTGTATTCGTTTTTAGAGTACCTCTTGTGTCTCTCTACAATCCACTTTCCTCGATAAGGCTGTGACACTATCCTCTAAAGTAGCAGCTGATCTGCTTGTGTATCTGTCTGAGGTAAAATGTTACAAAACCTGCTGATAATTCCAAGGAGGAACTGTGCAGCCAGCAATCCTGATTAGAAGGTATATGGCCAGAGTCTGATTTCAGGCACGTACATGGAACTTCAGCAAGGAAAAGGTAGTACATTCTGCTCCTAGAATTATACAACATCCCATTTGATACATTACATAGGGTAAATACTGTCTAAGAAAACAAATATTGCCAGATTATTGTATGTTGCTGTGCTTACAGCATAAGCTCCTAGGCATAGGATTTATGTTTTCCTTTAGGTTCTACACAGCACGAAACACATTGTTGGCACTCACGAAATAATAATGCTACTCACTGTAACATACAGAATTAACAAAGGAAGACAACAGAATGAAGCAACATAATTAAAGTGTAATCTGTTTTATGGTGTGTACACCAGAGGGCGCTTTCAGACAGGCCAGAAAACACCATGTACTACTAGTTAGGAAATCAAATGCTTGTACAGAGATCAAGGTGAAATCCTGGCCCTATTGAGGTCCATGGAAATTTTGCCAGGATTTCACCCTTTGTCTTTAGTGCTCGATCTGGAGGAGGGCAAAGAAGGGCAAAGAATATTGCAGATGCATTTCTTGAAAAGTCAGCCACTGTTTGCACATGCAGCAGCCAATTTTATCATCAGCATAGACAAGTAACAAGTGCATTTTAAGGGACTAGCTATGATATAAGAACCACCATGTGATAGGGTTTTCTGTCACACTTAAGGACAACTGAGTTACGATAGGTTTTTATTGCCAGGTGGGATGGGAAAGCACAGCTTGATAACTACGTTAGGGAATGATGTTCCAGTTTAGCTTTTAGCCTGGGCCCAAAAGACTGTTCAGCAAGGTCAAATAGTGAAAACAGACATCGTGTTTCAAAATCCCACTGGGTAGTAGCCTGTCAAACTACAGTGTTTGTTTGTTTGTTGGGGGGGAGGGGAGAGTGCATGCTTGCATGCAACACACATTTATGTGAGCAAACACGAGTTTGCACTCTGGGTACAAGCAGAATTTAATGATGCAGCTCACTTTGACAATTTGACTGTCCAAATCAACTAGCATGGAGCATACAAACATATGCACTATAGCAGACTTCAAGGCCAGTGAAAGTTGCAATATATGTAACATGGGACATTATGAAACAATGACACGTCAAACCACTGCTCTGATTCCTTAACAAGCAGTCTTTGTTGACTGGAGGACCAACCCACTAAAAACCCAAACCTTTTCCTCCTAGGCCTGGTCCACACTAACCCCCCACTTCGAACTAAGGTACGCAAATTCAGCTACGTTAATAACGTAGCTGAATTCGAAGTACCTTAGTCCGAACTTACCGCGGGTCCAGACGCGGCGGGCAGGCTCCCCCGTCGATGCCGCGTACTCCTCTCGCCGAGCTGGAGTACCGGCGTCGACGGCGAGCACTTCCGGGATCGATCCCAGAAGATCGATTGCCTGCCGCCGAACCAGGAAGTAAGTGTAGACCTACCCCTAGTGTTAACATTCTCCCTGCATACAGCAGTCACAGACACACCCACAGCATAAACATCTGCTGCACAAGACAGAAGAACAGCCACTGTAGGTTTAGGCTGCCTTGCAGAGGTGCACTGGGGGTGAAACAGATGGTGGTGCAGGGAGCTCCCTTGCTCCTTAGCCTGTGCTTGCAAGATGTGGTCATAATGCTGCAGGTGGTGGAGACGGAGGTGCCAGAATTGCCACTGGAGCTACATGAGGGGGAGCTGCAGAAGCTGTTTAAGAGGGGATTTGGTCTTGGTCCCTCACCAGGCACCACTCAGTTCTGAGAGGGCAGCACTGGTGGGAACACACACTACATCAGTTGACAGATGCAGCAAGAGTTGCTGCTCAGTGTGCTCTCTCCAGCTCCTTGGCAGCATTTTGCATAGGCAGACATACCTCCTTCCACACCACTCCAGCACTCCACCTCCCACATGCACTACGGGTTCTAAGAGCAGTTATCTGGTCCATCATTTTTAAAACATTCTCAGTAAATCATGACTTTTTCTAAGCAAACCTGTCCCGGGAAATGAAATACAGAACAGCAGCACAGGTATGCAATCGTTCACCAGCCCAATAAGACCCCAGAGAGAAGGATGGCATAATCAATGATTATGTCTACACGCAGGCTGGCACCCAAATAACTAAATGGGCTTTAATCTACACCATGTGCTATGCTGGTGCAAGTCTGTGTGTGGACACCCTTATTTCAGGACAAAAACACCCAGTTTCTGTTGTGCTTAAGTTGATATTTTACTGAGTTAAGCAAAATCAAAAGAGAACACTGATTCCACAGTAAGAATGCCCATACTCGTCTTATTTCAGTATAGTCAAAGGTGTAGATTACAACCAATTCAGTCATTTGGATGCCAGTTTGTGTGTAGATCTGTCCTACACAGGCACTGATTTTGATGGCGGGTTTGGTCAGTGGGGAGATGAGGAACGGAATAGAGCTGTAATGAGACAATACTTCAGCTACTAATGATTATTTAGAATGTGATTGCCAAGTAGCTTCATGAGCAATTTAACAAGAGGCCAAAACAAGCAGTCCTTACTCAGAAAAACTGCCCACTGATTTCAACAGCAGTTTTGCCAGAGTACAGGTGTCAGGGTTTGGACGTACACAGCTAATTAAAAAACAAGAATTGAAACATTCAACTTAAAAAAATAAGTTACAAGCTAGCACACACGGTAGCATAGCAAAATGTGCAGATGTCCAAATGACTGTCCTGCTATATCTAATGTATCTCCATAAAGACAGCTTGGGGAGGAGGAGGGGAAAAGGCAGTAAAGCTGTGCCTGTTTTTGGATGAAGGCCCTGACCCGTGTGCTAGCGATACCCATTGCAACAGAGGGACACAGGTTGAATTGCTGCCACAGTCATTCTTTGACAATGACAAAACGCATTTTACAGGCATCGTACGTCATGTGTATTTTTAACCCCCTGACACTTGCAGTCAAGATTTATTACAGCAATCCCCAGTGGGGTGGTCACAGTTTATGTTCTGTGTCAATGTTTTCTTTATAAGCTCATTTAGCAGCATGATAAGCCCCTTTGGAAGGTATTTATAATTCGGTTGTCAAAATTTGAACTGGATAGATGCACAAGAGGTGCTATTCCCATGAACGCTTTACAGGAAAATAAAAATCAATTTATTTATTTTTGCTTTTGAGGAAGGGACGGGGTGATTATTTTATTTTTAGCTCCTCTCTCACCTCACCCTAACCTTTTTCTCTAAACATCTGGCAGAAATTTAATGTGAAATTTTTCAAAAGTGACTACATAAATTGCACCCATAAAAACCATCCATGCAGCAATTGTATGTACGGAACCCCCACGTGTACACACAAATCAGGGAACTGCATATGCAAACAAGGCAGACTATTTACTGACTTCTACCACTCTCGTCATCGAAGGACCTAGGCACCTTACAAACATTAATGGATTTATCCTTGTGAGGTAAGGAAGTATCCCCATTTAACTGATACACAGAGACTGACTTCCCCAACATCACACAGGAAATCTATGGTGGAGCTAGGAATTGAAATATCTCTGGTCCCAGGCCAGTGCCTTAAACCACAAGGCTACCCATCCTCCCTGCTGCTTGTTTTGTGTATACAAGTGTAAGACTTGGCGCAATAGATACATGTGCATTTTTTCCAGGCACCAATAGAAACCATAGATATACCAGAAGCACACGACAGGTCTAATAGACAAAACTCATATGCCCACATTTAAAAATTTGACTCTTACTTCTTAGAAGTAGGATTGTCAAGCGATTAAAAAAATTAATCACGATTAATCGTGCTGTTAAACAATAGAATACCACTAATTTAAATATTTATGGATGTTTTCTACACTTTCAAATATATTAATTTCAATTATAACACAGAATATAAAGTGTACAGTGCTCACTTTATATTTATTTTTAATTACAAATATTTGCACTGTAAAAAACAAAAGAAATAGTATTTTTCAATTCACCTAATACAAGTACAAAAA